ACACACACACACACACACACACACACACAAATCCAGTGAAGGTAAGGGGCTACTCATAAATTAAAATTATGGACAATGAAAATATGAAAATTCTCAAATCCTAAATTACAAATCTAGCATTTACCAAATAAATAATTTTCAGAAGCCTTGTGTCCTGTATTTGTGGCATGACAAAATAACATCTGACTATTAAAACATTTTTTAAGAGACTGTTTAAATTTTATTTGGCTGTGCTTTTGTTTGGGACACCAAACAATATTTTTTGGTATGATAACGTGTTAACAGCAGATATCCCGTATTCTTCTATTTTTTTCTATTAATGTCATTTATCACAAAACTGACCTGGACATCTGTCTTCGTTTTTAATGATGCTTTTGAATTCCTAGATGTTCAAGTACCAATTCTAAAACTTGATTGGATTTCAGGGCAAGACAACTGCCTTCGAATCAAGGAAACTAGGAGAACTGAGGAGAAACAATGTCCTGCCTCTCGGAGCTGTGCCAATCAAAGCACTGCTCAAGACAGAGGCCAAAGGTTAGTTGGGTAGAATAGACACCCAGCGGTGTATGCCCAGCAATCTAAGCATTACACAGCCATACGTGAGCCAAGGACACACCAGTGTCCAGCCTGCGCCCTCTTCATAAAGGAATTAATAGGAATTAACTGATACTAGCTAAAGCCACTGAGGACACAACTACCCCATTAATACAGCCCCATAAGAATACGGGACACTGTCTTTGACCTTGTGTGGAACTTGGAAGAAGAGGAGACATTGAAACTGGGCTTGCGGGTAAATATTCTAGACTGAATGTCACATCACAAACTCAAAAATATCAAAAACCTGGTTGTAGAAATCATTTGTGAACTATCTCTAGGCTTCATAAAGAAAACCTAAAGAATTAGATACACAAACATACTCATAAATGTCCATGGTTTTTAAATTTACTTTGCCCTGATCCCCTACACTTTGTGAAATTATTTGTCTGTTCCAGGCCCAAATTTGTTTCTTATTATTGCCTTACACTTCAGTGGAGAAAGAAATGCACATATTTGGCTTTTTTCCTCTACATGCAGACTTCATTGAAAACCAAGTTAAAATGGAGTTGAAAGAGGAGGCACAATGCATTAATTTCCTTCTAAGCTTCTCAATAAGAATCCTTATGTAGATCAAATACTTTTTATTTCTAGACTCCAAGGTTCCCAGTTTGCCTTCAAAATTCATATGTGCAAATCTTTTCGTGTATGAAAGTCCTACCCAGTGGACATATTTTAGCTCCAAAGGATATTCAGAAATTATATATCTGTCCGCACAACAACAGCACCGTTTAAAACAAGTGGGAGATGGTCTCTGTCTCTAAACACCAGGCATTTACAGAGAACACCATGCTCTTCAAAAAATAAAAGAAGATTCAAAAAAAATTAATAAATAAAAGAACATTCTGTCATGTTTCCTCTCTTTTTTCTTCCACAACAGTGGATTTATACTACTGGCTCCAAATCTGATAGGAAGTTACCCAGTGTCACAATTCTTTACCCAAGAAAGAAGCAGAATGTAAATATGGAATAAAAACCAATTTTTGAAAAATTCTGGTTGACAAAAATTGGCACAAGTGAAATAGGATATATTAGTAAATTCTAGGATAGAAGATCTTAATACAGTATTGAGTTTCCTAGAGGCGACTGATACAGCCTGGGGCACAACCTTCATGGTTACAGGTCTATAACATGGACACTTTAAAAGTATCACTGGCAAGTTGGTATGTCTACCCTGAAGCAAAAACTATTCTGTGATAACCTCTATTAAAACCTTGACAGGGAGCCTGGTGGCTCAGTCGGTTAAGTGACTGCCTGCGGCTCAGGCTGTGATCCCGTAGTCCTGGGATCGAGTCCCATATCGGGCTCCCAGCTCTGCAGGGAGTCTGCTTCTCCCTCTGACCTTCTCCCCTCTCATGCTCTCTGTCACTCTCTCTCTCTCAAATAAATAAATAAAATCTTTAAAAAACAAACAAACAAAAAAAAAAAACCCTTGACAATCGGTGTGCTTAGTCTATTAGAAATCTGGGAAGTTACTACAAGAGTTGGGACAGGTTCTCAGTAGCATAGTTTAACTTGTCAAAAAAAGAACACACACACTATACACAGAGAAAAAAGTAGAGTAAAGGCAAATTTCATAGTAAACGCCCTTGCACTAAAGTTAACGCATCAACTAGCCATTAAAAAGAAAAAAAGCCTACTCAAATTACATCTTTTGAAATTAAATTATTATGAAGTTGAATCTAGACAAATGTGGCAAACCTACAGCAAAAAGATAAAAGTAGATGTGCACACAGTGTGTGGGGGTGGGTGTCAAAATCTGCAAGTGAATGCTATAAACAGAATAAAACAATGGCTGCGGAAACCCTTGTGTTTGACAGATTGACACCTAGAGAAGGAGGAACCATATGGCTGGTTTGGTTCTAACACAGTCTTTGAAAAGAAGGATATTTTATCTATTCTACCTAAAAATAGCTTAGTAGTGATATTCAAACATTTAGCAGAGGAGCCACCGTATTCAGTCGTTACCCTTAAAACACCCCCAGAAACCCCCGAGTCAGCTGTAGGGAAATTTAGAACTCTACCGACCAGTTCAAAAACCATTGTGGTAGTAAATTCAAATCTTTCAAAAGTCAACAGATATTAACATAACTTGTGGGTGAGGGGCAGAACCTCAAAAACAAGTCTCAAAAACAAGTCTGATCTTAATGCTGGCCAGCCTGGGGGCTCCATCCTCGTCTTATTCTTGTTCCTCTTGCTCCCCCGATGAGCTTTACAAACCCTCTCTACACCGATGACTCTAACTTGACATCCAGCAGCTGGGATCAAACACAAATTTAGAGTCAGGCTTGACTCCTCAATATGGCGGGAAGGTCTGCTGGCTCTAGCTTCCAAGCATGCAGAAAGGACGACTTCTCACCACCTCTAGCGCCCATTCCCTGCTGCAGGCTCCTCCTCACCTATCTAGACAGCTGTCACAACCTCCTAACTGGTCCCTTTGGCCCTCTGTAAGTATTCTCAAAGCAGCGGCCAGAGAGGTCCTCACGCAGAGCAATACTGTTTCACTCGACTCCAAGTCATCTGGTGATTCTCGCCTTCGCCGGAGAAAAAGCCAAAGTTCTTTCAATAGCCCTAGGGGCAGTGGTGCACACTGTGATGCTCTGCCCAGATCCCCGTCAGAAAAACTTAGTACCTGGCTGCTGCAAGACACCCTCCGTTGAAGAGTCACCTCATGCAAGGTCACAGAGCCTTCCCGGGGCAGCCCATATCCAGGGACGGAGTGACATGGGTCATCAAGGCCAGAAGGCTTACCCCAACACAGGACCACTCAGAAAGGCCACTCTCAGTTCAGGGCCCCGTGTGGTTGGACCTGCACTGCAGCTCGACCTCTGCCTCTGTCCCCCTCCTCCCCACAGGTCTCCATCCTAGAGGCACTCCCTCCCTGATAAACGACTGGCAAACCAAATTCCACCTGAGTCTGCTAGTGAAGAAGCCAGATAGCAATAAAGATTAGATGTGACCTGGCCCCCTTTGAGACGAACCAGTGTCCCCTGCTCACCCCGCTCCAAGACACACTGGCCTTTGCTGTTTCTGCTAGACGACTGGCCTGCTCCTGGGGCACAGCTGCCCCTTTGCGTGGAACACGCTTCCCGCTTCCCTAGATATACACACTGCTTCTCCCCTCATCTCCTTCCTGCTCTGCTTACATGTCACCTTCCAAACGCGTCTGCCCTGACCACCCAGTTAAAGCCAGAAACAAGAGGGAAAGCGTAAGGAAGCGCAATTCGCACTTCTCCTGATGTACTTGCTTTCCTTTGTGGGTATTGATCCCTTTTTGAAGAGAGGACTTCACTCATTTACAAGAGCTTGAGAACTGCTGCTTTAAAAGCCTAAAAGCAGTGCAGTGGTAAGAACACAGGCCCCAGGCTTAGACAAGCCCTGTGCGGCCACGGCCCGGGACAAGCCACCACCCCCTCAGCCCCAGCAGCGCTGGTTGTGAAGTAGGGGTAAGGATGTTCCCTCAGCTTCTTAAAAAGGTCATAGGATCACATGCCTTCCTGTAGCAACGGGCTGTGAAAACTGGGAGAGAGCACGTAAATGCAGGAGTCACTGGAAGGCAGCCCGAGGGTCCGCACAACCCGAAACCTACTGGGAGTACCTCTGCACCGTCCTTACGCCCCGGGACCTGAGCAGTCATTCTGTCATTTGTGCTGGACCCCTGAGAACCTCCAGCAAAGCACAGGGCTGGGTTTAGGAGAATAAGCACCGCCCCAGGGCCCTGTGACAGCCTAAGAACACTCCAGGAGTAGCCACCCACCGACGGAGCCTGAACCACTGGGACGCAATCCTTGTTTTTTACCCTCCTTGCACTGACTTAATTACTTCGGTCTTTGTTCTAATCTCTAAGGTCCATGTGAAGAAAATCACACAGGATTTCAGATATCTCAGTCTATATATGTGCATCACAAAAGCTTTCAACTTTAAAACCCGTCCTATGTCTGGTTATTAGGGATTAGAGGCCTGAATCTTTTCATGTGTATTTTCAACCCAAAGTTTTTATATTTATCTCTGTTTCTGTTATACAAAATAACTGTTCTTGGCTTAAAAAGAAAACAATAACTCCTCCAAACTTTCAACTGTGTTTACGTTTGCTTCCGTTCATTTTTCATCTACTAGAGTGAAATGTCCTTGCCCATAACCTCAAATCCACAAGCGTGATTGATTTCAGAGGTTGCGCTCAAGGCCCGCCCCACCAAGCAGAGACAACAGACCACCTAAAAACTGGCACTGATGAATAACACAAAATGTAATCTCACGTTTGCCATCACATTATGCATCTGCCTTTTCAGATTTACTTGCAGATCCCATTATAAGCTCTTTCTTTATTCCTAAAGAGAGAACCAGAGAAGCTTACATTTAAAACAATAAGAATATTCATTTTAGAGATATTAAAAATTATCCTATAGTTATACATTAAAAATAATAGTACCATTTATTAAAATGATAACAATAATAATAAATGGTGCTATAGAAGGATAAGGAAAGCAGGCCCTGTCCTAATCAATCACTACACGGTATGACTGGGCCGCCCTCCAGAACCAGGTGCTGTATCTGGGAAACTCCCTGTCTGGGGTGAGGCAAGTTTGGGGGTGGGAGGGGGTACTTGGGAAAGGCAGTACTACATCAGATCATCCAGGATCTTCTTTAAAGGAACACTCTACTAGAAACCACCTTTGCTTTCAAAGCCCTCCTTTGAGGGTATCACGCACTCCTCCGACTTTTCTTCATAGCTTTATACAACGTGATATTCAGGCTAGGGAAACTGGAAATCTCCTCCAGATCAAACAACTCCTTAAATCTATCTACAAATTTATTTTCTTTCTCCAGCCTGAACTTCATGACCCAGAGGATGATGGTAGATTCTTTGCACAGATGGTCAAAGGTAATGAGGAGTTCCTCTAGGAAAGGGTGGGCGTAGACAACGTCAGCTGCCAGGATATAGTCGAAATTGTTGGAAGACCTGGGGAAGTTCTCATCTAAAGCTACACCCCAGGAGAGTTCTTTAACCTGAGGCAAATGCTTACATTTCATTTTGGTGTTTTGGGAAATATTATATTGCAGGTTTCCAAGTAATTCAGGTAAATCTGTGGCAGTCACGTGTGCACCTATGAAACAAAGAACAGTAGGAAAAGTAACCCTTGAGGGATAAGGTAAAGCAATCAGGTTTCAAGCCAGCATGCATCTGCAATTCTGCACAATGGCTAACCCCAAGGAAAGACTGGTCAGTACACACAGGAGGGAAATCCCTTCAAAACAGATGCTAAGGCAGCTTTATGCCTCCCCTTAAAAAAATTTGAGATTCCCATAGCACTTCTTAACTCCCTTGCATTTTTCTGTTCTCCTGGGTTTTCTGTTTGTTCGATTACTGTTGCCGTGGCTATTTGCTATTTATCTACTACCTGCTAACAGAAAAATATGCTAGAGAAAGTAAAATTTGGAACCTTCTGTGGAGCGATCAGAAGTCACTGTTGAAAGACGCACCTGTTCTTCACTAAAAGAATTCTGAGCCCGAGTCACACGAGGCCAAGGGAGTGTAGACTGTGCCGGGCATCCTGTGATTGAACAGGAGGTGCAGGGCGTGGAAAGAGGGCTTTTCAACAGAATCACATTGGAAGTGTCGCAACATCCATATTTATGTCCAAGTTTTCAACTTGACCCCCTTACAAGTATGAATATTCCCACCAAAAAAATGTTTAAAACCTAGCCACCATGTGAGCATAGTGTTCCTACAGCCAAAGACCACAGATGCAGGAAAGACTACTTGGATGGAGAAGATATAAACAATCTCTGAATTAAAAGTGAATAGTAGAAGGAAGAAATTGGAAGAGGCAAAGTTGTAGAAACCAATAATCAATAAAATTTGGCCCTTAAAGTAAACGATGAGCTGTGGCAGAGCCTGAAAATACTGTGTAAATAAATCTAGGATTGGCCAATTCCATTCCATTCTTCCATCAGGCAAGAATAGACTGTGGTAGGGGTGCCTGGGTGGCTCAGTGGGTTAAGCCTCTGCCTTCGGCTCAGGTCATGATCTCAGGGTCTTGGGATCGAGCCCCTCATTGGGCTCTCTACTCAGTAGGGAGCCTGCTTCCCCCTCTCTCTCTGCCTGCCTCTCTGCCTACTTGTGATCTCTCTCTCTCTCTCTCTCTCTCTCTCTGTGTTAAATAAATAAATAAAATCTTAAAAAAAAAAAAAAAAAAAGAATAGACTGGGGTAAGAAACAGGAAAGCAGAACTGGGAGAAGTCTAGTGCAGCCCAGACCAGTTACGAACCCATTCATTCCATTGTCACGATGACAAATTTCTCTGGTCGTTTTGATTGTATTTTGTGGGAAATATTAAAGTGGGAAGGCAATATGCTTATCACAGAAATATGCTGGCATATTCTAGTGTGGGTGGGTTTGTCATTTTCAATAAATCCTTTTAAAAATCCCAAGTGACTCTTAATCTTACAAAACAAACTGAGGGTTGATGGGGGGAGGGGGGTTGGGAGAGGGGTGGTGGGGTTATGGACATTGGGGAGGGTATGTGCTATGGTGAGCACTGTGAAATGTGTAAACCTGGCAATTCACAGACCTGTACCCCTGGGGATAAAAAAATTATATGTTTAAAAAAAATAAATTTAAAAAATAAAATAAATTTAAAAAAATCCCAAGATAAGGAAGATTCCTTCTGTCTACAGTGAATATAAATTATCTGACTATTAAGTTCTTTGTGTCTAGAGAGGTAAACACCACCAGTCGTAGAACACTAACTAAACAGAGCCTCCATCTTCTATTATTTGTGTCAAGTTATATAAGCAGCCTAAAAGGATCAATTCTTTTTAGTGAAACAAATGACTTCCCAAAGCACAAATGTGCTCCTGATCAGGAAGCCTTTGGGTATAAATCCAGTGGTGCCACCGACTACCCATACCAAATGGAATGGTGACTTAAGGAAGCAATATCAGGAAGGAACAATTAAAAAAAAAAAAAATTGAGGGAGGACTTCAAGAGTCCCATATTTCCCCAGTGTTTAGAAAGTTGTAAATTGCTAAATCTTCATTTCCTCTCAAGATTTTAGAGTGGCAGGTGTGCAATTCTAAAGACCAAGGGAATCAAGACATATTTGGGCAGCACACACCAGAAAAGGCAGCTAAATTAAGGCAATGAAACAGGTAACAACAACAGAGTGAGACCAAAGTGAAGCAGGCTCAGGCATGTGTGGAGACTGTCACACGTGTCATGAGAAAAAGAAATGCTGGTGAGAAAAGAAGGGGGTCCCCAAAGAAGAATGGAGATGAACCGAGAAAAGAAATGCAAAGGGAGCCTGGGTGGCCCAGGTGATTAAGTGTCTGCCTTTTGCTCAGGTCATGATCCCAAGGTCTTGGGATCAAGCCCCACATCAGGCTCCCCACATGAGGCTCCCCACTCAGCGGGGAGTCTGCTTCTCCCTCTCCCTCTGCCTCTGCCTGCTGCTCCCCCTGCTTGTGCTGACTCGCTCGCTCTCTCTTTCAAGTAAATAGGTAAAATCCCTTTTAAAAATAATATAAAGGGGCGCCTGGGTGGCTCAGTGGATTAAGCCTCTGCCTTCGGCTCAGGTCATGATCTCAGGGTCCTGGGATTGAGCCCCGCATTGGGCTCTCTGCTCAGCAGGGAGCCTGCTTCCCCTTCTCTCTCTGCCTACCTCTCTGCCTACTTGTGATCTCTCTCTCTGTCAAATAAATAAATAAACTCTTTAAAAAATAATAATAATATAAAATAAATTTTTAAAAAAGAAAGAAAAGAAGTGCAAGGGAAAATGCCTAGAAGCAGACACAATTGGTAATACTCCTTCTCTCTTCTAATAGGTATTTTTCATGAAAGCATAGGACTTCAAAACCTACAAGGAATGGACAGCTACCTGGGAATGTTGAAATATGGTAAACGTCTCAATAAAGACCACCAGAGTCAGCAGCAGTAGATTCTGCCTGGGCCTTGTGTCCCACATGCCTCCTCAAGCAGCCAGGAGGCCTGAGTGCACCTTCCAATTAGAATACACTTATGACTTGGTGCTCCATGAGCAGAATTAATATGACGTCACAGAAAATTCTGAAATAAGCCAGTAAGGTGACTTTAAAACGGGTAGTGTTTCATGGCATGGGTGGCTCAGTGGGTTAAGCCTCTGCCTTCAGCTCAGGTTATGATCTCAGGGTCCTGAAAAAGAGATCCCTGGGAGATCCCAGGTCCCTGGGAGAGAGGCATGGGGCTCTCTGCTCAGTGGGGAGCCTGCTTCCCCCCCCCCCCCGGCTTCCCTTTCTGCCTACTTGTGATCTCTTTCTCTCTCTCTCTCTCTGTGTCAAATAAATAATCTTAAATTAAAAAAACCAAAACTGGTAGTGTTTCTGATGAAGCCCATTCAAACAATTAAGGAGTTAAAAATAGGCCTAGGTCAGAGTAAACTGGATAGTAAAAGCAGCTAATGACATCTGATCATTGAATTCTCTGACCCTATTCAATCAAAAGTACTTACTTACTTACCAAGTAAACTTGCCACGATGGAGACTAGCCCTGTTCCAGCTCCAATTTCAATCACATTTTTGTCAACCATATTATAGTGCTTTGCATTTGTTTCCAGAAAATAGCATAGAACAAGGGCCTATGAAAGTTTTCAAAAAGAAAAGAGTAGTGCTTTGCAAGTAATATCAGAAACTAAAATTAAAGTCTATTAGATAAATCATATACACTAATGTTATGACATGTGTACACATGTGAATATATGCATGAATATGTACACACCACACAGAAAATTATCAACAGAAGCACATCCTCCAACAGGTTCGACATTTAGACTAGAAAAAGTCCTTGGGGATTGTGGGGAGATGAGAAAACAGAAACTATGGAACTCAGTTGCTTAAGTTTGATTGTCTTTAAAGAAAGCAACTTCTAATAATAGTCATTTAAAAGAAGTGTGTGGGATTGGGGCAGACAGTGGAGGGAAGGGGGGTTCTGCACCCTTCGGGACAACTGGTAAAGGATTGGTGGCCTTGTAGAACATTCTGCATGTTGAGTGATAGATTTCATTACAATTATTTAACTCAAATGGAACCAGTTGAACAGGAAATAAAAATGTTTGCTATTCTAAACTCCCATAGTCACAAAACACTGGAGATTTAAACAGCAATCTCTATTAGCCCTACAAGTCAAAAATGGGATTAATTGGTGGAAGCATTTTCCCAATTTTGTGATTTACAAGTTTTAACATTATTTGAGTTCACAAAATAGAAGCATGGGACCTATTTCTTCTTTCTAAATGGTACACGACAAGGAACAAAACTGACTAGAAAACCATTGAAATATAGAAGATTTTGTGTGAAATTATACCGATGGCCAAACAACAGCACCGTAACAATCCATGGCTTCCGTAATCCGAATCTCATGACCGACAAAATGAAATTCCTCCCAGGGGGTGGTTGTTATTAGACTTGGGACAAAACATCTTGCCATGATCTCTGCAACCACCTTCTTGTCATCATCTCTCTTCACTGAAAGGAAAAGAAAAGGTCAGTGGTTGTGGTTGTGTTGGTAAGAACCGGAAAAAAGAACCTGATGGAAATGGAGCATTTCTACTCATTCTAAGTTACTTACATTCATTGACTTTAGGCGCAGCGTAAGAGTAAGGTAAACTATTTTAAAATAACTCATACTATAAGCATCCATTTCTTCCAAGCTAAAACCCACAGCTTTCTGATTTTCACCAAAGTGATTTCCATTTATGCAAAGCCACGTGAAACAAATTATAACTGGTATACCTTTTAAAAAAGCAACATATTTCAAGGGCTACCAATCTCTTCATCTAGAACAAGAGGAAGATTGATGATGGAACATTAGATCTTGACTGTTCACATTGACTACATAGTGTAAGCTGCTATGTCAATAATGTATTGCAGTAAACCCTTTATGACCCACCTTTACCCAGGCTAAAGATATTTAATACCATCCAACATGATACCTTTGTATTATTCTATTATTACTTTTTTTTATACTATTACTTTGGGGCAACTCATGGCATCTTAACGTCTGTGACATCAAGTCAAGTTCATAAGCAAAATTGCCAATTACTGAGTATATAGTTAACACACTAGACCATGTTAAATATATTGTATGTGATATTTCATTATTACATATTCATTTCAATATGTAATTTCATTTTATTTCATGTAATTTTTTAACAGTTTTGTGAGGTAGGCATTATTATTTGCACTTTTATAGGTAACAAAAACTAAGATTCAGAGAGCCTTATTAATTTGACCAAGCTCATGTAACTTATAAATGAAGGAGCCAAAATGTGAGTTCTTTTCTGATTGTTCCAAAACCTCTTCTCTACTCCTAAAAAGCTAGAATGCAATTTTAAAAAACTAGTTGTCTCTAAGAATTACAAACTAGTTATGGAGCAAGATACACATCTTTCTCGAAGTCTCTGTTAACTCCTTTGTAAAATGTGGAAGATAGAAGAAATTCCACCAAATAGTGCTGGAAGATTTAAACAAGATGCTGTATGTAATGTGCTTAGCACTTTGGCTATTACATGGAGCTCAGTAAATCATTATCATTATTATAATTTATTATATCTTGGTCATGAAACTAAATAATATAACAAGATCACCATACAAACAAAAAGACTGAATTGTGAGGTACCAGATTGAAAATTCTATACTTATTCATAGAAGCAGAGAGTAGAATGGTGGTTGCCAGGGGCAAGGGTGGAGGAAATGGAGAAATATTGGTCAAAGGGGGCAAGGTATCATTTACGTGAGATTAATAAATTCTGGAGATCCAATCCATAGCATGGTGATTATAGTTAATAATAATGTATACTTGAAATTTGCTAAGAGAATAAATCTTAACTGTTCTCATCCCAAAAACAAGAAAACAGTAACTCTGTGAAGTGATGGATAATGTCAATTAGCTTGATTGCCATGTTCATTTCTATGTATCTATACAGATATCTATATATATCAAAACATAATTCACGCATCTTAAATATAAACAATTCTTACTAGTCGATTATGCCTCTAGAATAAAAGAAAATTCTAGAGTTAAATAAAGAAGGGGGAATGCGCGGTGTGAAGGTCAATAAGGAAAGGCTTCAAGAAGGAAATGTGTCTTAAGTTTAACCTTTGATCTATGATTTGCATTAATAGAGAAGCTATGTACTTCTTATACCAATCCTTAAAGCCCACTGACTTCGAGTCTTGTTTCTGTTCTCTGAGTCTGGCTAGAGTCCTGCTGGCCACTTCCCCGACCCTGGCACTAAATCCAGGCCTAGTTCTCTTCAGCATAGTTCTCAATACTTAAAAGAGGATGTAAGGAAGGGCAGGGGAGGGGAGGGGAAGGAAGGAGGAAAGGAAGAAGAGGGAGGAAGGAAGGAACATACAGACAGATATACATACAACAGTATAGTCTTGCCTGATGGGAGTGTATCATGACCTGAAGGGGATGATTAAATCACACCTCAGTCCTGAGATCCAAAAATAAGCAAGTAAATAAACAAATAACAAATACAAGTATTTCCAAGAAATTTGGGAGCAATACAAAAATTTCTCATTCTGGTCTTCATGGAAGAAAATCTCCTCCTAGAAAACTTATTTCCCAAATCTCAAAAATCAAAAACTTTCAGTTTCCAATATTGCAATTATTCAAAGTTTTAAAACAGATGCACCACTCAAAAATAAAATATCAGAGAATCCTAGAATGTCAAGATGGAAAACCCTTCAGATACCTTCTAGTCTACCCTTGCCCCTCATGTTCATGCTGGGTGTAAACTACATATCCAGCTTGGTCAGCCTCTTTGGATATTTCCAATGAGGATAAATATGTTATTTCACAAGGTACATTTAGAAAATGATTATTGAAAATTCTTCTCAATACTAAGCCAAAATCTGACACCACTGATTTTTTTGTCTATTACTCCTAACAGTAAGCTCCAAGGTGACCAAACTTTCATTTTTAAAACATGTTCCAAAATTTTAGGATAGAGGAAAATGTAGGGGGGAGAAATATATATATATATATATATATATATATATATATATTCTATATATATTATATTTTTATATAAATATATGTATATTTCTCCAGTGTCAGTCTTTTTTTTTTAGATTTTATTTATTTATTTGACAGAGAGAGAGATCACAAGTAGGCAGAGAGGCAGGCAGAGAAAGAGGTGAAGCAGACTCCCTGCAGAGCAGAGAGCCCGATGCAGGACTTGATCCCAGGACCCTGAGACTATGACCAGAGCCAAAGGCAGAGACTTAACCCATTGAGCTACCCAGGAGCCCCTTCGGTTCCAGTCTTAAAAATTCTGGACTCAAGAGCATGGGAAAGCCTCAAGAGACTTTCAAACTTTTCCACAGCATTGAGGTAAGAATAAGTAGAAGTGACAGTCTTAAGTCCTTAAGTCCTAAGAGATGTTATTTCCAACTCTGTCCTAGGAGCTCCGACAACATCATTCCCCAGTATTCAGGGAGCAGAATGGCTAGATGGAGGTAGATCAAGTTTGACCCTCAGAGGCCACAGTCCCGGGGGGCACTTTTTGTCAACAAGATTTCCTGTCCTGGGTGCCTGGGTGGCTTAGTTGTTGTTAGTTGTTCCTTCCTTCCTCCCTCTTCTTCCTTTCCTCCTTCCTTCCCCTCCCCTCCCCTGCCCTTCCCTACATCCTCTTTTAAGTATTGAGAACTATGCTGAAGAGAACTAGGCCTGGATTTAGTGCCAGGGTCGGGGAAGTGGCCAGCAGGACTCTAGCCAGACTCAGAGAACAGAAACAAGACTCGAAGTCAGTGGGCTCAGGTCACGATCCCAGGGTCCTGAAATCAAGGCGCACATCGGGATCCTTGCTCAGTGGGAAGCCTGCTTCCCCCTCAGCTTGTGCTCCCTCTCTCTCTCTCTGTCAAATAAATAAATAAACAATCTTAAAAAAAAAAAAATATTTCCTGTCCTAAATTCTGTGATCCTTCTGTAGCATCCTTCTAAGGATCCACACAGAACCAGGTACTCCTCAAAAAAACTCTAACTTGACTTCATGCCATAGGAAGGGGCCAGTGTACGCCCGCTCCACCACCAGCACAAACACTGACTCTTGGCAGAGATACAGGAAAACAAAGAGATGAAAAACTGATCATCTTCAGCAAGAGCCACCTCTTCAAATCGATGTCACTGTACTTCTTCACATGGCATCCATTCACATGCAAGAAGAGCTCTAAGAACCAAATAATATTGGTAATGTGTCTTACTGGAAGGTGAACTTCCGTTTCATTCTATTCACAGGCCTTGCTAAGATGGGGTGGGGGAGGGGGGCAGCATTTGCTGTGGAAGTTCTTAAGGGAAAAGCAGGAAACAGTAATTGCTTCCTTGACCTTTCGCTGAATGTGCCCTCTTGGGCCTCCTTGCATACTCTTGGTAAGTGGAGCACTTTCTGACAAGCCACCCAAGGTATCAGGGATTAATAGATGTTAGAGTATACTAAATCCCAGGAGCATCTCCTAAAGTTCCAGTCTTTGAGATAAAAATTTGCCAGTGAATATTTACAGCTACAGTCTGACGTCTCTGACTTTGCAGTTTCTTCTAAAGGTTAGTGGACCAGATTAGTGCTATGGTCCTAACAACAATATAATAACAAATGATTCCTGGGGTTTTTTTACTCTAAAGAAACAAAACCAGCCATATTTTTTTAGGATGGCCACATCTTTACCTTTATAAGGAAGTAAGATTTTAAAACATATGTGTGAATATATTATTATAATCAAAAATTACTTATACTATCCTCCCAATAAAGGATCTTTGAAGAGATTTAATGAAACAACAATAGCCACTATTAATTGCAGATTAAAAGAGCACTTAAAAGAGCAAAACTCTATCCATCTATATGTGGTCATTCAAAATTAATTATACACCTAAGATGACTATGTATTGTACAGAAGATATTATCAGGTTGAATAAAATTTAATTGATAATGTTTCATATTAATATTTTCTTTTGCATTTAAATACTATATAAACACTACAGGCATTCCTGAAGAAGTCAGTCTGATAAAAAGATAGCATAATTTATAACAGGAAACCAAAATGTACCAAACTTGGCTACTTAAAATAATTTGTCTATATATAACATGTAGGATTTTAAAAGCAAATACACATGTGCAGCTATTTCTATCTTAAAACTTTGCTGTTTTTCACCATTAACTTTGATTTAAAGATTTTGAGGTAACAGTTTTAACAGTAGTTAGTTATTTACATTGTTAGTTATTTAACAATTTTAACAGTAGTCATTAAGTTATGTCAAAAGATGTGTTTAATATTAAGTTTTAGCAATATTCTACAAGCGCCTCTGAAACGAATCTGTAAGATGCACCATAGGTCCTTACATGAGCCTCATAATAAGAAGGAGAAATCTAGTCCCCAAATATTATTCAAAGAATATGTTTCTTAAAATACATGCTTAATTATTTAATGAATATGCGATTGAATCTTGAGAAGATTAATGAATGAGTAGATATTCTTTGACCTTTCATTAAGATTTGAAGAACAATTTCCTCCAAAAATTAATAGCATTATCATACAATGGAATCCTAATTTGCATTTCTGAAGAATATTTTTTCCACACACATATTCTGTCCTTGTTACCTAACACTTTGGCCCTGAGACAAGTAACTAACACTGAGTAATTTCACACAAAATGTTGAATCTTGACTTTCTTATATGAAAAGCAGAAAGCTGATATCTGTATCTTTAGATAAAAGCTATCTACTGTAATCTTAGAGCATCATTTTATTAATGAGTTTGATATTAAAACATAAATTTCAAAACAAACTGTAAATAAAACATAATCAAGACAATATTACAATTATGTTGCTGTTTGGGGCTCATCTTATTTTAATGTTCTTTGATACAAAAAAGATTTAACACCATTTTCCTGCTACTAATCTTTGCTGATAGTGAATAAAATCTACCAGGTGTTCTTGTTCTCCTGAGAATTAACAATTTCAAGCATGAAGGGAAAATTAGCAGGATTCTGGTATGTTATGATGATGCTTTTCTTAGGATGAAAATCTAACAGTGAATTCACTTCGGAGGCTAGATTGCCACAAGCCTTCCAAAACAGAAGCACTCTCTAGATTCTTCTCTTCTATACTTTAAGGTCAATAACAACAATAAATGAAAGGGTCAGATCACAGAAATACACTGAAAAAAAAATGTCTTTAATAGCTATGACAGGTGAATTTAAGCTTCCATTTGAGGGCTGTCATGAAAACCTGTCAGCAAAATTTAAAGTAAAATCACCTCTACTAAATGAAAGAGACTTGTCATTCAACTGAATCTTCTATTCAAAGATGAATGTCATGTGCTTCTTAGAAATAGCTAGAGATTAAAAAAAAAAAAAAGATGTTAAAGGTATTTTCTGATTAGTAAGTGATCACAGGCTAACCTGAAAGATCGAATTATGAATGCCTCAGCAATGTCAAGGGCTTGGGCCTGATGTTAAAACTAATTTCTGAAAAGAGTTCAGAGATACTTTTTGTCTGGAGGTCTGCTTAGTTAAAGAGACAGAGGCTGTCTCTTTAATCAAGTGGGTCAGATGATGTTACATTTACAGAAGAAAGACAATTCATCTTTTATTGGACTGCTCAGGATGCAAATAGGAAAGAAAAAAAATGAGTTGTACTCAAAGTCTGCTGCTGGGATTGTTGTGGGGACAGACACCTAAATAATTGTAAAAGAAGCACGATAAACATAGTAAGAGAAGTATTTCTAAAGTGCTTTGGGAAGCACCACTGGTTGGTGAATCAGGAGAAGCATTCTTAAGGAGGAGATATTTGAGTATGTGGAAGGTAGAGGGAGGTTGCCAGGCAGAGAAGGGAGATGAACTACCTGCCCATGGGGAGACGGGCCAGGGGAGTGGTCAAAAAGCCCATGGAGCTGGTGTACAAGGTACCTGTTGGGGTGTTGTAGAAAATAAGCCTAAGGAAGCAGATTGGGATTGCACTTGTGGGAACAAACAGAGCAAATGTTGACCTTTGTTCTCCAAGGTGAGGAGTTTGGGCAGGAATTGACGTGAGCAAATTTGTCATTGAGGCACTCACCTCTGGTAGCAGCAGCTAAAGGCTACGTTAGAAGCTCTTGGAAGACTATTGCAATAGTCCAGGCAAAAGATGCCAGAGCTGAACTAAGGCAGCAGCACTGGGTCTAGAAGCCAAGTATGAATTTCTGAGCCTGTGAAGTAGTGGTAAGACCTCCCCTCCAGGGCAACAATCGACATGCAAACTTGACATTCAAACTTGTGTTCTGAAGACCTTTAAGGCAGACTGATATATTTAAGAGTGAATTTATTCAGTATGTGGAAAATGTATTAGTCTTTGTAGGTAGTTGTTCAGGTTACTTTTTAAACCATACCATGTGTTGATGAGTGAGTCTCACATTAGTAATTAGATTAGACATCGTGTAGTCCATCAACCATCACATTAAAATTATTGCCTCAGACTATAGTTCGATATGTCCCTTAAACAGCAACAGAACTACTCAAACTTTCTTCTTCATAACCCAACTCTGTAAAGATGTGTAAAGATGCTTGAGGAAGATTTTCATCTGATATCCCTAAATAATACATTATACTAGATTCTGAGAAGAGGCAATGAACTGGGAACCGGGAACGTGAGATCATTATCAATGAACAAATTGCAGGTCTAGCCAACAGGCCTCAGTTACAGCTAATTCATTTATTCACTCATTTTATTCATTATCTGGGCACTATGAATATAAAGATAGAGCAACATAGATAGATAGCAATGAGATAGACTCAAAAGTAGAAAGAGAAAGCTCCACATCTTGGAGAGCTCAGGAAAGAATCATGTGAGCCCTGACGATGATGAGTCTGCAAGTCAAATGAGAGGACAGGACACTTCGTGCAGAGAAAACAGCACGTGCAAAAGCCCATTGGCAACAAGACTCTTGACCAGTTTTCCAGTTTGGGAAACTCTGAGAACTAAGATGTAGGATAAGTGGGGGTTGTAGCATGAGGTAAAATACTTATGTCATGCTAAAAAGCCTTGAGTTTGTCCTATTAGATAATGAGGCACAGAAGAATTTTAGGCAGAAGGCGAATGTGACAGGATTTGAATTTTAGAAAAGATCATGCAGCTACAGAGGAGGACAAAGAGAGGATAAAGAAAGGGTGCTGATCCCGAGCGGGGGCAGCCAGGTAGGTAGGAGGTACTTACAACAGGCACAAGAAGAGATAATAAAGATCTGAAGGAAGGCAATCGTTGCTGTCAGAGGGAAGGAGCGGTCAGGAAACACGAGTTGGTAAAAACACATGGGATGGAACGATGAATGGTATGAGGAAGAGGGACTAGGATGATTCTAGATTTCTGGGCAGCCAGAGAAATGAAGTTGCCATAAACTGAGACAGAAAATATAGGTTGTGCAGGGGTGTAAATCTGCAAAGGGAAATAATTTTTTTTGATGTGTGTTACTCTGTTGTATGACGTGCTGGCCACAGAGGTATGCCGTTCAGATTAAGGGAGGGTACCACTGGGAGCACAGCTGCGCCACGTCTCCAGCTCTGTCCCTTTGACTCCTCAGAGGCCCTGCCTCCCCTGGGGCTGCCTGCTAATGCCACTTCCCTCCCATTTCACAGACGACACGCAGCTAGCAGGTGACTCGCTCCCTCTCCTCTCTCACGTGTCAGACCTGCACCGTGATCTGATGGCTCTCCCCGCCCATTTCTGTCCCTTCTTTCTTTATCGTCCAAAAACATTCCCCCCCATAAATCTCCTGCACATTTAATCCCACTTGGACATCTGCTTCTAGAGGGCTCTGAACAGACACAAGGTAGTAAGGAGGACATTAAGTAAGCAGGGGCAGGAAATGCACAGAAATCACTGAGCCCGGGGCTTGGAGGAACCTGCTCTAGGGCCCCAGGCCCTGTGGAGCTATTTTATAACACTGCTCTGTGGACTAACGGCTAGAGAGTAACTGTCACCAGAAGGTGGGCAACACAAGATACTCATAATAGTTAATGTGGATAAGGTTTTAGAAGCTTAGACTCTTAATGCAGCATTAGGAACTATACACAGAGGACTATTTGGTATGTATCATAGTCCTAAATTTAATCTGTGTGTAACTTAGTGATGTCCTATAATTCTTGGACCTTCAGGCCAAGAGGGAAATAGAAGACCTGGGCTATAGGTTTGTCCCATCTTTTTCAAGCACAACATACTAAGTATAATAGTTGGGAGAGGTAAGGTCAATAGCCTTCAGCACTGAAGAACTGAGTGTTCCTCTGTTTAGTGGAAGTCTTTCCAACAAAAAGCCATCTGATCCTGCCCCAACAGCACACACTTAGTCTGCCTGCAAACATATTTTTAAAGCTTTAATTGGCTATCTAGATGATTATGGGGTGTGTTTTCTTGTGTTATATTTTAATACTAGTTCTGTTTCAACCTTACCTTGAACTTCTTCCATTTCCTTTGTAATCTGCCAAATTATTGTATGCACAGTTGAAATCAAGCATTGTTACTAATGATAATGATAACGGTGAAATTTTATTCATAAACTGCACAGAAACTGAATCTTCATTCAAAACCTCTAAATGGCTGGATTCTCTAAGTGATTATGACTTTAAATGTTTAGGTCTGCAAAAATCACTACAGTAAAACCATTGTGTTGAAGACATGTAGGCTGCCAACACTGGGCATACTCCCAGCTCTCTTGGCCTAAAGATATGCCTACCTAGGTAGAGGCCACCTGGTATGCCTAAAGAAGGAAGAGGAAAAAAAAAAAAAAAAAAAGCCAGGACTGTATTTCTTAGAAAATGTCCATGTGTGGATAAAGGAGAGAGGAGAAGAAAGAAGCCAAGATAATTAAATTTGTACAACAAATGTTCTACAAAAACGTAGTACTAGCTCTTCAGGTCTACATCAACAGTGTGTGTCTGCACTTTTTATCTCAAGACAATGGGGCTAGTTAACATAATCCATGTAAAGTCACTCTTAATATTAAAAATGATGTAAAAATTGGAGGTCAGTTTCAAATAACTACAATTAGAGCAGAATTCAAACTTAAATTCTCCTTACACTGAAAGGTAAGTCACATTATATATTTGTCTCTATTAATACCTCGGAGGAACCATAAACACAGGCTAAAAACGTTTTTATAGTTTAAAAACATCTTAAATGCAGGCATTCATAAAAACTTGTAGCTTTTCACAAAACAATTTTTATCTCCCTTCCTATCTAAAAAGAAATATTTTAGAAATCACAGTCATGTAGGTAGTGTATAGCACTTGGGGGAAAAAAATCTATTCTTTTTCATATTAAAAAAAAACTCTACACACTTAGCAAGTCTATATATTTAATTTGTTGGTCAAAATAATCTCTAACATACCATCAGGACCATAGGTATAGCAGTAGACATTTCACATTATAGATATTCTCAGCAAACACAAACCAAGATACAATATGCAATTGATAAGTCCTAGCTCTGTTTAAGACATTAGGGAACACTGAGAAGGTAAGCACTTATATTCTATTAGTTGTCTGTCTTCTTAGAATTGGTCAAATTATATAAAGAACATAAAATAATTTACCTTTTTCAGCTCCTGGATCCATTAAGCAATGAACTAATCGATGGCTATATACTGATGTTTTCTTGATCATTTCTTGAAAACTAGGCAAATAATACATTAAGATATCAAATGGTAATAATCAATTCAAAAGCATGTTTTAAGTGCTTTTACATTGACCTCATAAAGCTTAAGTAACATCAAACATAGCATAGAAAATTCTATCAAAATTTTGTATATTAATAAATCATGATTTAAGATAGACGCCCCCCAACATACAAGCTATCCAATACAAATCAAAATTCAGACAAAGGCTTCAGAGTCAGAAGTTTTAAAAGCTACTGGAAGAAGTAAAGACATTACTTCACTCTAGATTACCTCAGCTATCACCAAGAAAGACATCATCTTTATAATGACTGGTCAGATAGCAATCTCCACATTTAAGAGGTGTTAAAACATTGGGAGAAAATGAATTTCGTTCAGTGTAGTGAAAAACCATAGGATTAATCTAAAATACATGCAAAGTCCACTTGTTTCTATCAGCACAACATTAGTAAGTACCCAATGTCTAATAGCCCCACCACCAAATGGCCTTTTGAGGAGCTTTCCCTTTAAAGAACCCATACCATCTCAGCAAGTACATTTAAAACTGAAGAAATTAAAGTATTTTGTGCCTCTCAAATAAAGCATATCATGCAAGTAAGTTTAAATGAGCAGTTATTCCAACATTGGGAAAAAACGATTTGATAATTTACACCTCAGTTTTGGTTCATATTATAAATAATCACAGTACTACCATGAATTTATATAGCACTCCTTTCTTCCAAGGATCCCCGAACACTTTTCACAGCCACCGCATTGTTCTTTGCAGTATGTCTCAGTAAGTCAGAAGACAAATCATTTTCCCCTGCAGCTTACGAGTGAGGAAAGTGTGAAGTTCAGTTACATCCCGTCCCTGAGGTCACTGGCTAAACAACAGCAAACGTGGTCACGCGCCTTTTGTTCCCAATTTAGCTCCTCTTCCATTGGGGGGGAAAAAAAAAAGACAGAAAAGAACAAAAAAAAAGAAAAAGAAAAGCAGTCTTCATTACACCTGTCTACCTTAAGGTCAACATTTTTTAAATGTTAAGTCTGGATATACCTAAATGGGTTAGCTGAGTTTCTAGAAGCTTAAAAAGTATCATTCACAACTTTTGTTTTGCTGGAGAGACCTCAGAGGGTGCTGGAAAGGTCAGCCCCGAAGCATGCCTGCAGTTTGCTACTGTACACTCTGGCGAGTCCTCGCAGGAGGGATTAGGATCCTGACAGCTGCAACTTCCCAGCCTCCGGGTGCACAGCAGTGGAGCTGGAATGCCCGTAAACGAGGGGGTTGAAGAATGGGACCGCTCGATGCGAGTGTCTCCTGAATAGACCTAGAGCCAGCAAGTGAATGTAAACCACTCCTACAAGAGAGTGAAGACTATCTGCAAAGTCACCCCTTTTTTAACTTCAGTGCCAAGAGTTATTTAGGACTCCACAGCGATGACGTCCAGTGAAATGGAGGCAGCATACTTTTTATGTAACCTGTCTGAGTGTGAGTATCATTTTTAAAATCAGGCAGCTGCGCCAGAGAATTCGAAAATGTGTGCAGTCGTGCTCTGAGCACAGGCATCAAATTAAAATTCCTTCCTACTAGGACTGGGCCGAGGGTATCTGTTATCTGGACACTTGCACGTGTACACGCACGGCTGCATCTCAGAGCACGTATAAATCTCCCTGGTCACTGAGAATGTCCTTAATAAGAACTTATTACAGGTAACAAAATTGAGCAATATTGTAAAGTTAAATAAACTTAGAGGAGGGTAGGTACAGCTTCTAAGAAATACTTTATACAAAGTTGACTTGAGGTCACATTAACATATTGGATGGGACTAGCAGTCTGGGAGCCTGATTTTAAATTTGCTTGTGATTTTAGGCATTTACTTAATGTGCTTCTTGGCTTCCTCATCTATAAACAGGGATATAAAAGGTTCTCAATATATATTTGTGGAAGGAATATGGTAAGTAAAAAAAAATTTAAAAAAAAATAACCATTCTGCAAACTGCAAAATCCTAAACAATGAAAACTATTATTCATAGGCAGTTAATTCTGGGCAGAGTACATTCTCTTTATTTTGGCTTTCTTTAAAACAAGAATAAAGAATCATTTGGTGAATAAAAATTACCTGTCTTTTTCAAGGAGTTATTTAAAAGATCATGAAACCTCAGTGCTAGATTTCTTAAGAGGCAGAATCCCCAAATCGATCACTTAAACTGACAAGACAATGATTATTTCAGTTACACTGAACTGTTTGAAAAGTACATAGACTTCTGTCTCCACCTGTAAGTAGCTTATAGCACACCTCTGCTCCTGAAAACTAGAAAAGCGTATTACACACACACACTAGAGGTCAGGAGAGAGCTGCCAAGGCAGCCAAGAATTCCATGTTTTTGCTGATTAATGATTTAAAAAAAGAGGCTGAGGGTTGCTGGGGGTGAGGGGTATGGGGAGGGTGGCTGGGTTATGGACACTGGGAAGGGTACGTGCAATGGTGAGTGCTATGAAATGTGTAAGCCTGATGATCACAGACCTGTACCCCCGGGGCAAATAGTACATTATATGTTAATAAAAGTAATTTTTTTTTTTTTTTAAAGAGGCTGAGAAGCCAAAGGGAAGACAACAAGGAAGGATGCCAGCAGAACTTCAGGTGATCGCACAGAACTGGGAAGACAAAGAATGGGGTTTGGAGCTGGCAAGGCTGCCAGGAATTGGGAGCCCAAGATCCCAGGAAGCAGAGAGAAATAAACCCCACACTCAGCACCAACTCCTCACTCAAGACATTTACTCAGTAAGATGTTAGGGCAAGAGGCTGATTTTCTTTCTTTCTTTTTTTTTTTTTTTAAGATTTTATTTATTTATTTGACAGAGAGAGAGAGAGATCACAAGTAGGCAGAGATACAGGCAGAGAGGGCAGAGAAGCAGGCTCCCCAGAGAGCCAGATGTGGGGCTCGATCCCAGGATCCTGGGATCATGACCCGAGCCAAAGGCAGAGGCTCAACCCATTGAGCCACCCAGGCACCCAAGAGGCTGATTTTCTGACGAAGAGTAGCTGAAAGCAGAGCAAAGTTCAAAGTAAGAAACACCCCAGCTGTCAGCTGGTACCCCTGAAAAAACTACTTTTTTTAGTAAGAGGCAGAAACGGGAACATGAAGTCTTACAAAGACTGCCAGCCAGCCTGGAACCCACTCGGTCCTGGTTACAGTCAGGCGATCTTCGCCTCTGCTGCCTGGCAGAGTACCTTCTGGAATCCTCTGCAGAGGAAGATCCAAAATAGCTACAATCTTTTATATACAATGTCCAGCATTCACTCCAAGTTTACTAACCACACAAAGAAACAAAATATAAACAAACCCACAGGTAACCCAGATATTGGAATTGTTTAACACACACTTTAAAGTAACTGTGATGAAGATACTGCAAGAGTAGATGACAAGAATGACACCAAAGAACTCGAGTCTATAAAAATTAGTCAAGAGAATAGAACTGAAAATACATGAAATAAAGAACCCAACAGATGCGTTTAACAGCAAAAGGTAGAGAGAGCTGGAGAAAGATTAGTAAGCTGAAAGATAATTGTATAGAAAAAGTGTATGATGGGTGTCATCCTACTTCGTACCCATGAGTACCCAACTCTCTTTGAATAGTGATAAATATACTTTGCTGCTGATAGTTTTAAACAGACAACCTATTTTATAGGTAAAATTGCGCCCTGAATTACAGAAGAAGATTTGAGGGGGAAAAAACAAAAAAGATTTGGGTTCAGGTCACACTTTCCTACAGGATGGGTGAATTTGGTTAAGTCAGTTAGTACCTCCAAGCTGCTTTCTTCAATGGTAAGAAAGGATACGCCTTGGTCAGAGGGTCAAGAGAAAAAAGGACAAATATCAAAATGTTCTGTAAGTGCTGTATTTATGGCATAAGCTGTGTATCCAATCTTCCTTTTCCTGGGTACATAGCCCAGGGAGAAATTACATCGCGGTGTATTCCTAGCATACCCTGCAGAATATGCTCGGTTCAGTCCAACAGGAGAAATGCTTTTTAACGAAGGACATTGTGCTCGCCGGGGCTTTGGTTCTTTCCTCTTCCAGCAGGTTGAAATGCAGATACAGCAATGACCGAGACCATACAAGCAAGACAGCAGCCTAGGAGATGGCTGAACTCAGGGCCCTGAGTGGCCTCATGGTGGACAGCTGCCTAACCAGCTCAGATTGGCCAGCCTGTTGAGTAAGAGATAAATAATGGTCCAGCTTGTGTAGACCATTGTATACGAACATCTCTTTGCTACAAGCAGCTTAGCCTCTACCCAACTAGTGCAGTGCAAAACAAATGTCAACTGTCTCTGAAAGGCAACACAATTCAATCTCAACAAGAGTATTACTTACAAACATAGATGCAGAAAACTCCCAATTATAAGTAGCTTTGAAAAACGAGAATAAGATGAAAAAGTTAATGTCTCCCTACTCCATCCCCCCAAGAAAAGTGTTCTGCTTCCAATACCTCCAGAGAGAAGCAGCATTAAAAAAAGATCGGAGTTTATTTACATGGAAGTCATTGTCAACTCTAGAAGCAAGCTGCTAGAGAAGACTGGTACAAACAGAGGAGATGTTTCCAATTAGGAAAGAGTAAAGAGTAAATAAAGCAAAGAGAAGCGCAGCTATAGACCAAGTATCTGAGAAGCTGGGCTGAAAAGTAAATATAAATGAAAGCCTAAAAAAAGGCATCCAGCAGTCAGTCCAAGGTTGTTGAAAGGTATCTGCATTTAGTACTCATGGGGGTAGGGGGGCGTACGGAAGATTTTCAATTATTTGGAGGTGGAGGGAAGAAAGTCGGTAAAGATGGAAATACCAAAGATGTCAGAAAAGACACAGACTTGGGTAGACAGTCGCTCTGAAGGCCAAAGAACCCAAGCTCAAGGTAACTGGCAACGATCTCCTCAGGCTGTTCGTAACTGTAAGCAATCAGAACTTTGGGAATTGCTGTTCTGAGAGCGGGAGCTGGAGGAAGAATAAACTAACCCAGGCTAGGCCGCTCGGAAAGAACGTCTCCGTGAACAATAACCAACCCCTGGAAGCCACTCCTAACAGTGGCCCGCCTACACTGGTTCGACCACAGCCCTGAGCCCCCCACAGCCATTTACACAGAAGTCAGCTCGTGACAACTAAAGCATTTTAAAGACAAACATTACGGTACAGAGGCTCCATGTCTGGTTAATGCCCACAGGGGAAATCACGCACCTCATCTAGGTTTCCTAATTATCTTGCTATAACCGCAGCAAACATACTCTTCAAAGTCTGTTGCGGCGGTGAGCTTCCCTCCTGCTGTCCTTTTAAGTGGACCCTGAGGAAAAATGGGAAGCAGCAGAGGACAGGACTTCATGTAGGTGTGGGAAACAGCTACTCTTAAGGAATAAGAAATTTGGATATATCCCTTCTCATCTGGGTCAGAAAGTCAGAGGGAATGCTGATTGACAGTGACTACTGATCAACAGAAATCCTTTTTTCTTTTTGTTAATGCAGAAAGCATCAGACGTTGTACAATAATAGAAACACCAGCAAAGACTAAATACAAGGAAATAGTCAATGACACATAAAACACCAGAGAAGCGTAACACGTGGGAAAATAAATGTCAAGTTTTGCATCCATAGTTTAAAATAACACACAATACAAAAATCAGGCAAATGCTTTTAATTCTATTATTTCCTCACAACAAATTCATTACGAGATGTTAAGTTGCACCCGATGATGGAGAATACATGATTTTTAAATTAATTGGCTTTTTCCCTTTCTTCCTCTTGTACCTCTCCGCTTCCCCTTTCTCTTCCCAAACACAGATCTGGCGGTCACCAGCACTGGTGCGAATCTCCCTCCGTCATCATCACTAGAGCTGCTGCTGATGGCATCTTGGTCCCTGGCAGGAGCAGGGGTCGCTGTGCTCTGCAGACCCGGGCGGCTAGCGGGTACCTCTGGGGCCGCTCTCTCCTGTGGCACGTTCACTGAAGACACACACTCACAATCCTCCCCTGAAGAGGTCCCAGATGACGGCAAGAGGCAGCCCCCCCCCAAAAATCCGCCACATTTACTCTCTTGCTTAGAATCTGAAAGCCTCTTTCTTTTCAGGCTTGATGACTCTTTCCATTTATTTGCTATGCTTCTCTTCTGGGTTTTTCCTTTTGCCTTATCAGGGAACTCAAAAT